GCGCGGGCCTCGTTTCGTTAGAAGAGGTGAGGGAGGAGTTCGGCCCTCCGCCATGTTGTCGTGCGCTCAAGAGAGTGAAAGGAAACAACACCTTGTTTTAGTGTCTCATCGTGGGTGATGGATGCATAAAAGAGAGCTCGATCCGATTTTTGTGTATCGCCGTACAAGATCATGGGAAAAGGATATTGGTTGGTGGTTAGAGGTAGCCACGGATGTTATTGTGAAGACCCGATAAGGCGTGTTCAGTATTCCATAGTGCCCTAGGCCACCATACGACGTATACACACCTCAGCGTCGACTACAGTAGTGATGTACCACTCAGTCTTGTCGACTCTGATAAACGTCCGCGGCACGAGTATTTTCCTTCCTTTTTTTTTGTACTTTGCTGCGAGTTTCAAACAAGACGTTGCTCCTCTGATGGGTCCGCGTCCAACTTGAAACGAATTCTGGGGGAGACGACTGAACAGGCTTAATAACGATTGCATGGTAGATGGTAGATCAGACAAACGACACGTGGTTTTCTTTCTTTTTTCAAGATGAGAGTGGCGCGAACACGCGATGATTTTGTTTGCTTTTGTGTTGTGTTGTCCGTCTGACAGGTTTCGCGAGGTAAGGGGGCGTTCTTGTCAGGGTGCGTGACTCTCTCGGACGAATCGTACCTCGGAGGGTGCTGGACGCAGGACGATGATTTCGGCGAAAGAATCGAAGAGACCGACGGCTGTCAGGTGTGAACAACATTCTTTTTTTTTTTTGCGTCCACCAAGAGAATGGAGGGTGGTGTAGGTGCAGAGACGCAACGACAATGTTGTCGTGAGCTTTTTTTGTCGACGGCAGTGTGCACTATCGGCCGCAGAAGGTACAGCAGCACTATTATAGTAGTTTTTCACAACACAAACGAACGCCACCACGATCATTAGCAAAATGACAAAACGACGATCACACCCCGTCCGGCCTTGCGGGAACATCTCGATGGGCTCTACACCAGACGTGCACCATCCAGGAGGATGCGTTTTCGGAGGCCGTCTTTCCGATCATGTTCCCCGCGGAGCTCGACCCTTGCCCCGACGACCTCGACTACACGGCTCTCTACGAGGGGACTTACGGCGGCCTGTCGCTGGTACGCCGGTCATTTGCGGTTGTGTCTCTTGTGTGGCGTATCGTACTGGTGTAAGACACCACCAATCCGTTTTTTTTTTCTTCTTGTTTCCGCAATTTGCACGGGCCAGGGTACCGATGTGATGTCATCTTTTTTACCTGTTTTTTTCTACGGCACACCGTAAACGACGCATGGGTACGAACTTCCGATCCCGGAAATACCAGGTACAAATATTCAATCGGTCTAGCGAACACCGTGCCTCAGTTGCGCTTTCCCCCCGCGCTCTCTAATTTCTCTTTGATGTTTACCGATCTCTTTGAATACGCCCTTCTCCTCACCCCCCGCCCCCCCCCC